TTTTTTTGTCCCTGCTATGTTAGCTTAGAGCTAGATTAGCTCACTCTGAAATAGTTTACCTATTTAAAATTTAAAAAGTCAAAAAAAAAAAAAAAAAGAATGACACCAAACATGAATAAAGCAGCTTTTGGTAAACTGAAAATATTCACAGCTGGTAATCAGGCGGTAATGTCTAAATTATCAATATTTCTATATATATTTTTTTTTACTTTAACTCCTCTCTCTTTCTCTCTGGTCTGCAGTGTTTCTCAGAACAAAATGATGTGACTTGTGGTCTCATCAAAAGGTAAAAATCAGTAGGGACAACACTACAACAACATGCTGCTAACTTAACCACTCAGGGGTGTCAGTGGTCATCTTCTGACAGCATTTCCAGCCCTGAACATTCCACCTAAATGTTCAAATATACCATTTTAAATACCATTTTTTAAATGGTAAAATATCTGTCCTTGTCAGAGGGGTGCTGTTATTTCTCAGGTGAACAGCTGTTAGGCTAGAAACAGTCACCTTAATGATAAATAAAATGGCAGAGCAGAAGAACAATAATTTTTTTTAAAAAGGCCACCTCATATCTGATTTTAATCCGAAAAATATGTTTCTTTTAAAAAGTTTCAGCGTTAATCACAACATGGACCTTTAACTTTCAAACATGTTATTCTGCCCTGACTTGTTTATCGATTACCAGCGACTGCGAGCAAAACGACTAGCTGTCAACAACGTGGTGCTGACGTTGAGGTAAGCAAACTGCTCTTTATGGCGCTCTTTTTGATGTTTACGTGCTTCTTTTACAGACCAGCTGAGTCCTCGGTGCTTCACTGGAAATGCAAGAATTACCCGTTTGCAAAACAAATGAGAGGCTGGGAGCTTCTGGAACTTTCTGCCAGGGGCTGACACCACCTGCACAGGGCTCTTGTTAGGAAAAGTAAGTAAGGAAAATATTTTCTGAAAACACTGAACCAAAAGGAGGGACCTCAAACATCCTTCATCCTAACAGCCACAAAGCTCAAACTCAAAGGTCCACCGCTGGCTAGCTTGCTCCGGTTGGTTATTTGCCTCCATAACAAGCACCGGGTCTCCAGCTAATCATGACCTACTTAGAGCTGAAATCCAGCAGCCCGCACGCTGCAGCCTCTCCTCCCACTCAGGCACAAACCAGGAGCACCAAAGACCCGAAAAACCTCCCAAACACGCATGTGATTTCCCCTCATGCACATGTTTGAGCCCGCTGTCACATTTCCATCTAATATCTGCGTAAACAACCACGGTTTAGCTTTCAGCGGGAGCGTGACAGCCTTTAAATGACAGCTGTGGACATTTTTCTGCCTCTCGTTCCCTGTGATGTCAGCAGCTCTCTGAGGCTCGGGATCGGAATAAAGTCAGTCTGTGGGGCTTCTGCCTCCGACTACTCGCTGACCACTCACCGGACTGTGCGAGGGTCTGGGCGGCAGCATGCGGCTCGAGTACTCACTCAGGTCTCTGCACTTGATGGTGCTGTAGTTGAAGGAGATGCAGAGGTAGTCACATGCCTCCCTCAGCTCGGGAATGGAAACGCCGTCAGGGCAGCGGATTATCCCCGATTTGTAGTAATCCTGCCATTTTAACCGGCGCGCGCACACACACACACACACACACACACGCACACAAACGGAGGAGGTTCAGGCGCGCACACAAGCGGGGGAGGAAAAACAAGTCGCCATTATTAATTCTGCCTCACTCGTAGAGCAAGAGAGAGAGGGAGAGAGAGAGATGAGGAGGAAGAGGTGGGATGAGTGAGGAGGGATCACAGTAGAGGGAAAAAAAAAAAAAAGAGGAAAGTGGGAGGGCTAAAGAGCTGCTGAGATGCTGCTGACGTCCCCCTCCCCGCTCCCCCCTCCATCCTCTGTGAGCGTTTCCCAGGAGAGGTCCGGCTGATGGAAAACGGAGGAGACAAACAGGACATCCCTCGCTTCCTGCTCAGCCAACCGGCTGGACGCTGTCCCCGAACCAGAGCCCGCTTCATCCAGCAGCGGTGCCAGCTCTGGCACTTTTTGGAGACGTTTTCCATCCTCACTTTTAGCCTTCCACTGCCTTCCCCTTTGCGCCTGCGTCCTTCTGGCCTGTTTTTGTCGTTTATGACAAGCTGTGGATCCGCACCAAACAGCAGTTCAGTGTGCCCAGCGTGATTAAACCAAGACCTGCTTCTGAGAAAAGAAAAATAAACTCCCGTTTGATTTGCTCGCCCAGTCAGACGCTTCTTCGTGTGAAGAAGCTTTGCGGATAAAAATAAAAGCCGAGTGGGATACTGAGGAGCCTCAGTCCGCCCACGTTGTGTTGGCATCCCCTCAGCTCTTTGCTGCAGCCACCTTTAAGACTCCCATGAGAAAGCCTTTCTACCAAACAGCCTCCAGCACAGTCCGCTGCAGCCGGCTGGGGGGGGTGTGGAGTCTTTAAAGATTTGCGTGAGTTGCATTAAAGGACCCAACTTTCAGGTGCTGCAGTGGGAGGACTGAGACGGATCCAACTCCACAAGATGACTCAGAAACTGGCAAAACTGAACTTATTTAACAGAAATGTATAATTTCTACAATAACAGCGCCCAGTATGGGAAATGAATCATTTTTGCATAAGCATTCATTAAACCCATCCTTTAAAGTCACTTCAATTGACACTTTACTCATTTATTTCTACGTTTTGTTCTTTGCATTTAGCCTTTTTCCATTCATTTTTACAGTGCATTATCAAAATCATTGTGATAGGTGAGGCTTAATTAGTCTTTCAGAAAATGTAGTTAATTAACTGTTACAAACTATGACAGATTTGAGGCCCTTTCTGTTTAAGAACAAAACTTTTTGTCAAATCCTAAAACCCCTTAGGACATTTTGTTTACTAGCAGGTCTGATATTCTTTGACTTGTGGCTGGTTTTAAACGCACAGAGCAGTTCAAACGCGGGGCTGTTTGGCCGTGCCTCCACCAGGGGGCAGCGCACAGGTCTTTTACCAGCTCGGACATCGGTTTGCGACAGCTTCGGCTAGTTCTCCTTCACAGAGAGAAGCCCGAAAAGAAGCCTTTACGTCACCTTTACATCTGTTAACATTTTTGCACCCTCAGCGGTTTGTAAGCAAACTTTGGGAGCCTCTACATCTGGGACCTCCCAATCTGGTCCCTGAGGGCCTTTAGGGGTTTCCAGCTCCCATAGGCTGGATTCACACCAGCTTGAGGGGAAACTCCTGGGAGAGTGTGAGAGGCTCAGGTTTCCCCAATGTTTGTGTAAAACATGAAAAAAAAAAAAAACTGAAAATCAGAGGGATTCAGAGAGAAGAAGGATGGGATGATGGATGACAATCATAATGAGAGGCAGAAACATGAGGACGGAGCAGTTTCTCACCAGGATGGCTCTGAAGACAGTGGAGCTGATGCCGTCTGCCACCTCAAACTCGCCTTTTTCATTGGGCCGGGTGAAGTTGTTGTCCCGCCCAGAACCGAACATCCTGAGAGCCAACAAGAAGAGGCAAGAGTGGTTCATTAAAAAACAGAAAACAGGACCGATCAACGGTAGAAAGAACAGTCAAATAACAGCACACAGGACGAGGTGTCAAAAGGTTTAAACTAACAGCCTAACTAACAGGTTTGGCACAAATGAAGAAGGCCGTTGATGCAAAAGGTTAAAAACTATCATCCATCTTCCCAAAAGACAGAGGAAAATAATAAGGTTAATTCTTATTCTGAGTTAAACCCACCAGCCTCAGTGTGTTATTTTCCTTTTTTCAGTGTTTGTTCTTAAACAGATAATTTTCCTCAGTTTAAATGTTGCTGGGTTCACACTGGCTATAACTGAGTTAATTAACTTTCTGTTAGATTTGGACAAACATGGACGAAGCCGACAGCTCCCGTTAAAAAAAAAAAACAAAAACATCCCTGCCCAGCATGGGGTTGGGCTGAGCGGTGAAGAGGGCGGGATCCACCACGAAGCGCGTGCTGTCCACGATGAGGGTGACCCTCTCGCCGGGCCGCGGCCGGTCGTACACGCAGACCACGTCGCAGGAGGCCCCGCCCAGCGGGGCGGCGTGGTGCCCCCCCCCGGGGGGGGGCGGCGCCCGGGGGAAGTGGGGTCCCCCGGGGTGGGCGTAGGGGGCGCAGACCCTGGGGGGGCGCGGGCTGGAGGACCTGGAGGAGGAGCCTCCGTCTCCACGCTCGCGGTCTGTGGCCGACAGAGTAGGGTTGTCAAAAGTATCCATACTCAAAAAAGTATCGATACTAAAATGTTGTATTCGGATACGATGCTCATTTTCAAAAGTATCGATACCACCGACCTGCCGTCGCTGCCCCCCTTCTCTCAGATTTATTTATGTATTTATTTACGTTGTTTATGATCATTTACAAGACGTTAGCCTCGAACTGTTAGTTGCGGCTAATGGTTAATAACTCCGCCCACATCCAAGTCGGCCATTTTGGTTACATCACCAATAGGAAGAAAAGAAAATCCTAATTGCTTCATGGCCATATAGACATTAATTTAAAAATAGTGAAATTAATCTTTAAAACACTTAATTAAACTCTATCCATAATATGATGTTAAAATAGTGGATGTTAAATAGGTTTGTACAATAAGTCCAAACAAGTTTAACCAAAAAATATTTATTTCTCACAATTAGGAAGGGTGGAGGGTTAGGGTTAGGGTCAGGGTTAGGGTTAGGGTCATTAATGTGGGCCACCATAACATCAGTAACAGGTCAGTTTGAAATGAATGACACTAAACCGTCAAAATTCAGTTACATTTTGGGGTCTTTGTTTTTATCCTTGTGGTATCGAAAATGGTATTGAGTATTTTCCTGAGTATCGGTATCGAGGCGGTCCTCACCGTGCTGGCGCGTGGGGGAGGTGAGGTTCCGGATGCAGGGCGTCAGCAGGCCCTCGCCTCTCTCGTGGGAGGAGTCCCGCGAGCGGTCGCTGGAGCGCCGCCGCTGCTCCCGGTAATGTTCAAACCCTCTGTCCCCGCCGCCACCGCCACCGGCGCCGTACAGACTCATGGTCCCGACCTGCTGCTGCTCGCCGTCAGACCCCGACGAAGCACACGGCTCACTGGGGACGAGAGGCAGGTCAGAGGATCCAATCCCATCAACACAGGTCCAGTTACATGACAGGGAACAGAAAACTGACCAAATAGGCCTCACGTTTCACATTTAAATAGAAATACAGATATCTGGCCTGTTTAAACATGTCTATTTTAGCTTCAAAGGGTCCATTACATCTGTCACTGTGGGTTAAACTGCACAACAGAATAAACTAAAGTTAAACAATTCTAAGATATTTTCATTCATTTTTCGCTAACGCCATCAGAACTGTAGAAATCTGTTAGTTTCCACCTTTATTCTTTATAATTAAACAAAACTAAGTGCGTTTCGGACTTGTTTTGTTAGAATTTGGTCTGGAAAATGCCCCCCAGTGCTCACAAAAATCAAAGGCTGCTGGACAAAATGATGATTTCAGCTAATTTTACTCCTAAGCCAATCATTTCATGCCCGAGTGAATAACCAGACTTTTTTTTTATTTTTTAGAGGGGATGTCTGCCATCTGTGTTAGGATTCAGCTTTGATGTGTCCAGAGTTTTAAGTGGGACTCGTTGCACCGATCCTGCCTGCGTCCGCTGGGAGGCGGTCAGAGGAACTGCTCTGCACGCCCAGACGTGAGGCGAGGAGACAGCCTCTGAAAGTCGCCTCCAGTGAACCCCCCCTCTGAGAGGCCGAGTGCTGCAGGAGGCCATTATCCATTAGGTTTTAAGGTTTCTTTCAAGGGATTTATTTATATGGCATCTTAGTCCATCATTCTCTGTCGTTGACCCAAGATAAACCTAGCAGACGTACTAAGGATTGGAGGCGCACGCACAGCTTTTAGCGGAAATCGTTTGACAGCCATTTGGATAAGGGATGAGCAGTTTGTGTGATTTATTCATAGGTCAGAAGTTTTTTAAACCAACAGGGTAGACGTGGAGACAGGAGGGTTTTAGGGTCACATCTTCAGCCGTCCGTGCAGCGTCCTGCTCATTTCAGCCGGACAAAGCGGAGCCGGCCTCTGGCAGGACCAGCGTTCAGCTTCCTGTCCGACCCAAAACTATGACAACACACCCAAAGCTCCGACACACCCAAAGCAGCCACTGCTGGTGACAGCAGGGCTGATGCCACAGGGCGAACGTCCCCTGTCCCAGCTTCTGGTGGACCGTGCTGCAGGCATCAGTTTAAAAATGGGTGAATATGATAAAGTTAAAAGTCTGAGCGTCAAATACTGTCCTTGTTTGAAAAGGATCTTTTGTTTTTTCTTCCAATGGCCGGCTTTCGCTGGCATCCATTCCTGATAACGGCAGGATGGATGGCTTTCTTATACTTCCTGCAGTCGTGCAACAAGTTGAGCTCGACTGCGACAGCTCGGCTAACGACGGGATCAACAGCTTTCAGCTTTTAAGACAGGAACACTCTGCTGGTCTCGGTAATAAAGAGCGTCTGGCTCTCCCGGGAGGAGCCGCTCTGAAACGGGAGCTGGGGGGGGAGAGGAAAAACCAGAGCTCTGCGGACAAGAGACGGGGCCTTGCTGTCTGCTCAACGCCAGTTACAGACAAAGCTGGAGGGAAAGAAAGGCACGCAATCAGCCTTCAAACTGAGGAAGAGTTTGGAAACTTCAGCTTTTTTTCTCTGTTATGCAGCAGGAAAAAGAGGTTGCGCATCCTTTGACGGAGCTTTACAGGCGGGCTGACCGTCTGGGTGACCGACTCTGACCGCCTGGTCCAGGGGCTAATTGCTTATTTGTCTGGGTGGGAAGATCTAGACAGGAGTGGCACGGCAGAGCGAGGTGAGAAAGCCGGAGAGACAAACAGCACCTGTGCGGCGCGCCGCCGTTAAACCCAGACAAGGTCACTCTCTGCGTCCGTTTGATCCAGCTGTCCACGCAGCGCAAGTCTCACTCCGGCACACAAAACACCCCCACGCGCCACACAAACAACCAAATCGGTTTTGTTCTGAGTGGAAAATATGTCAAATGAAAGCCACGTGCACGGCACAGCTCTGCCCAGAATAACCCCTTCGCTTTGTTTGCTGCAGACTCCGGCATCGTCCTTGACGACAGGGGTCACAATCGTGAGCGGAAGAAGAAAAGAGCGCACGAGCACACCTTTGGTTTCACTTCTGGTTTCTGTGGATCCAGGTGAGCAGCCCGACCGGCAGGCTGTATAAAAAAGACACTCGTCCCACTCGTAAACAGCAGCAACTCGGGCGCAAACTCCAACATTTTAAGCCTTTCTGCGAAACATTTCTCACAGAGTCTAACATGCATCTTTACACACACACATGTGTGTGACGGCACAAATACAGATTTCATCTCCGATGGGATTTTAGCGTTTGGCAGAATGGGGACAATGCTTTAGAAAAAAAAAAAAAGAAAAAAAAAGAGGGTCTTCCAGGAAAAAGAGAGGCTGGCAGCCAGAAGCCAGATCAGCCGGATGGAGGGGGAACAAAGGAAGTGAGGAGGCAATATTTCACTCGGGGGCAGGAAGATTCTCTCATCTTTCACAGGGCAGCGCAATTCTACAGCAGCCACCATGTCTCACGGTCATAGAAGAAGGAAGAGACTTGGATTTCACACCGTTTGGCAGCAGTGATATCACAATTTCCCCTCAATCTCCCCTCTGAGCCGACCGACCGGCTGTGGCACTCGCAAAAGTCTACGGGTTTCTGTGTTTTATGCTCCGATTGTGTCTAAAAGGAAAAAGTTCACCAACTCGGCAAAAGACAAAATACCTCAGAAGAGGAAGCAAAAACACTCCTGCAGTCTATTAAAAGCCGGAGGTGCGGGCCGTAAAGGGTGAAGGTTCGATCAATTATTTAGGGGCTGCTGAGGCTGACACGGTGCTGGTTAAAGGCAGCGCGCCGGCTGGAAAATTAACAAAAGAACATTTAACACCGGGGCAAAAAACAAAACAAAACATGAATTATTTATTTTCCTTAAACAATCCTTTCTACTGATGAAGAAAATATGCAGCTTAAGAGCATCTGGATATGATGGCTATGCAAATCTCTCCTCTCAGAAATGTAAAATCCCACCATCAGCCACAGAGGAACAGAGTCCCGTCCAGGAGGAGACTGGTCCTCCGGAAGCTCTGTTACACTTCTTCACAGCCCTGACAGCGTCTTCCCCATTAAACGCAATGACAAGGCTAAAAATACTAATGATAATAGACAACCTCCGACGCCCGGAGGGGAGGACGAGCACATACCGGTCCGTATCGGAGGGCCAAGTGAAGACAAAGCAGCAGGGCACGAGCTGCGGGATGACAGCGGCACAAAAGCCTGGCGCTCCTCCGAACAAAGCGGGCTTCCCGGCAGCTTCAGCATCCTCGCTCATTACTTTCCAACTTCAACAGCATCGTTCGACGAACTCTAGTCGGAGTTCAACTCGCTAATGAGACGCTCCTTGAGCCCAAAAAACGCGTCCGCGAGGCGACGGGAGAGCACACCTGCTCGTCATTCAGAGTCACCGGAGGGACCTTAAAACTGTGAATGGCCGCGTGCTCGAATGAGGCAGAGCGATGCTGCCTTCACGTGCTCCCCGCGAAGTGCCCTTTCTTAGCTTCCTATCTTTTACTGGCGTATTTTACTGGCCGTTAATATATGTGACCTAACGCGGGATGTCTTTTGCACGATCACGTTTACAAATATCAGAAAAAATATCAAAAGATCCATAGATCGATTGAGATTTTTTAAACGCAATCGTTTGATAATATTCTGATTAAAAAATAAGCATGACATTTCCAACATGACCTGAAGGTGGCATTTGGCAGCCAAAGTGCTTAGTCCTTGAGTATAAAAGATTGCCTATGCATAACTAATAAAGCCTCTGGCTAAAGTATGGACTTAAACACTTTGAAGGTGTCCATTTAACGTTTTTCCTTTGTAAAAACAAAAGATAAACAAACTGAAATTGCATCCCTTAGAAAATCCTCTGGTTTATATACACATATATTCAGCTATTCAATCACAGGAGTGGAATCTAACTCCAAACAAAATGCATCAAGGAAAATCTAACATGTTTTATACATCATAACAAAGCAACAAAACCACACTCGATCCTGCTTTCTGAATAAGATCCAATACTCAAATACCTCAACAGGAAACCAGCTTCAAAGTCAACGCATCACACATCAAACAAGGGATAGGTACAATTTAACATTTGAGTCACTTTAAGAAACAATAGATCAGATCAAAAGTCTCAATAAGAGACAATCTGAAAGTAAAAAAGAAAAAGTGTGCTGCAAACAATAAAAAATTATATTGAATAAAATAATTCCCTTACACAGGTTATTAGGAGACCATATGCTAGAAAGAGGGGGGTCATGACACGTTACTTAAAAGATAAACACAGCTAGTCAATTTTATCATGAGCTTTTCATTTAAACATTATTTAGTTTTGTGTTTGTTTGTTTAAATAGAGAGGCTGCATGCATTCAAGAATCTTAAAGCCCAGAGTATCCACAGGCAGATACAGATGAGAGAAGCAAAGGTGTCTTCTGGGCAGGGCTCTCCTGTTTACTGGTCTTCCTCTGGAAATTCCCAGCCATTGTTTCTATCGAGCTATTTTTACCTTTGTTTTTCGTCTGTATTAAGGGAGACTGATGTCTCAACCGTTTTTGTGTCACAGATGTTTCTACAATACCGTCACTCCTGTTCCTCGTGACTGCACAACCTCATAGAAATAGCATAACAACTTAAACTAATCCAATCAATCAATGGACTTTCCACTTTTAAGAAATATTGTCTGTCTACGATCCTACTCGCAAACGAACAAACATTGAGGGGAGTTTGGAGCAAAGTTAAGTTCAATGTGGACAGTCTGAACTAACAAATGTGAATAAAAGTTTCCAAAGAAACCCATTAAATTAGTACAAGGTGATATCGCTGTGTGTTAAATGAATTTAACCCAGTTATGATAACTTTGACCTGTTACTTTGAGAAAAATTCCAAGTCTGAAATCACAAAGTTAGCAAAAATAGCCCTCGAAGTTAGTTGAAGTTTAAATAGGACGTAGATATATAAAAACTCATCAACGAAGTTAAAAGCAACAAGTGTTTCGGGTTAGCTTGTTAAATTAGTGCTGAGCTAAACGCCTCAATAGCATTTAGCTAGCTACCGCTACGAACAAGAGTTTCAAACAACTTTCCTTTACCTGCTTCCGTTACATTCCACGCTGAATGTTTAACCAGACGATTAATAGGTCTGTTGACCGATCAACCGAAATAACTGACGGCTTACAATACATTAGTTTTGGCAGAAAAATCTCTGCTTACACCAACCAAACACTTGTGTTTGTATTGGTCGGGTAACGGAATTCACGTGGAAGATATCGCGAGATAACATCCAATAGCAAACGAGGGACACAGGTCTCTATCGTGAAACGATGTGTCGCTGTTTGGTTAAAAATAACTAAACAGAATCATTTTAATACAATTAATTTAGCTTTATTTTTAATTAATCCATATTAAACACACATAAATAACCATTACAATACTTTTTTTTACACAGGCATCGTCAAGATAGCGTATAGAATTTACTCTTCAATGTTGAAGTGCATTTGTTTTTATCTTTTACAGTTCAAATAAATATTTTGTGAGTAGTTTTACAAATGAATGACAAATAAGGCCGTTATACCTAATAAAAAAACAACAAAACAAAGAACATTGGTCCAATTCAGACAGTCTCTTTCAAGTTGAAGCAGTTTCATGAGTGCTTCAGGTCACTACGTCTTCTATAAAAGTGCATATAATATGGAAGGACTGCCCAATCGAGGCACTGTCGTATAAATATAAAATTAATAAATTAAGTTGAATAAATAATATTTCAAAGGCAAAATTAATTAAATAAAATGCACAAATACAGAAATCTGGAAAGTGTCAAACTGAACTATAAAAAATGAAAAATATAGAAAGAAAACATCTTTCGCAGTTGGAAAAAAACAAACAAAGTTGAGACAGTCAACGGTCAATGAAATAAAGCAAAATAAATAATCATGACTGTTTCGATTCGAGGAGCTTCTCCAGGAAGTCCAAGGCGTGCTGGATCTCCTCGGTGGTCAGGTCGCTGAGCTCGGCCAGGTCCGCGGGGCTGGGCCTCCCCCGGCCCCGGCCCTCCCGGCCCCGGCCCCGGCCCTCCGGGTCCGGGTTGTGGATGTTGCGGAGCCGCGTCTGCAGCCACTCCCGCCGCTCCTGCACCTGCTGGTGCTGCCCCACGTCGTGCATGAGCTGCATTTCACTCACCGTCCGTTTACTGCACACATCAGGCTAAATTGAGTCTTTTGTGCTGAGAAAAATAGTTTCTGAATGATGTGCATTACTAAGCAAAAATGAAAATGGCTTTGTAAACATTTTTTTATTAATTTAAAACGATTTTTTAATTGATTTTCTTTTTACCTCAGGGGACGTCCACTGCTGTGAACGGAGAAGTGCAATAAGCAGAAGGAAATGAAGATGATTTTATAGACCATTTTTGGCATCTTTAGCTGGATTACCTGTAAAAAAATAAAAAAAAAATAAAAAGTTTTTCTCATGTATATGATTAGGCTTGACTCTCAAACATTTGACATTCTGTTTTATATTAGAATAAAGCCATGGATAATCTAATTTAGCAGTATGTTTCAATATCATGTTATTTTTAATTTATCTTTGCTCCTCCAAATTACCCAGCTTGTATATCAAAATATCCAATATATTACATAATCTGTCTAAAACAAAACAAATTTTACTTAGTTTATGGTGTTTTGCTTCTATTCAATATCTGAACGACAGGCAAATATGAACATACCTGAACTGATGTTGGTTTGTCCTTGTCTGTTAAAAGTGAATAATATGATGAGCCAGTCTTGTTAGGTGGTTAGCTCCTATTAGTTATGACAAGCACCGGACTCCTGAAGGCCCTTATATAGCCCCGGTGTCCAGCCCTTGATGAGCTGCCTTCATTATTGCTGTTGATGTCACACCTCGCTCCTGGAGGGGGCTGGACATAAAGGACAACACCTCCTTCAAGCTTCAAGCTTTCATCACTGTCATACCGCACCGAATGAATGGCTTTGAACCCGAATACCTTCACACCTTTTTGGGCTGGAAAAACAAAGCCAAGCACCGACATTCCTGTCTTTTATGGAAATTCCTACATGTTGTCCTGGTATAAATCAGCTGATTTCTTTTACGCACGACATCTATCATTAGATCAACGATTGTCTATAATGTGCACAGAAAATGCACATTTTCTGATTTTTCTGCAGAAACTGCAGAGATCTTTCAGTGCTTGTATTTTACATTTGTCAAGGGTTTTAAGAAACCTTGTCTTCCCATTTAAAACTACTCTTTCCCAAGCTTTGTGTGAGTGTGTGTCCACATTTTCAATTTTACATGCCTCTCTTTTGTTTTTTCTCTATCAGCGTGAACTGGCTAGACCTATTAGTCCGCATCTGATGTGACCTTTTTTGTCTCACTCCCGGCGTTCCTCACAACAATAGAGCCAACATACGGATAGATTTATGACTCATTGACTATTAGAAAGTCTCCCTGGTTACATAGACACTTAACTCAAGAATTAACATTGTTTTAATGAGTTTGACTCTCAAAAAAGAGCTTTTACAGCAACTTGACGTCAGAGGAAACATCCTGAATCAAAAAGTAAGAGGGAGTTCAGGAGGTGTGTCAGTGGGTGATGTCGCTGTCGTCACAGTTTTGGGACTGACGGGTGGCCATGCATGTTTCTTTATGTTTGCTGTCAGTTAGGGTCACTGAACACTGCCAAATCAGATAGATTCTTACAAATGTATACAATTTATTGACTGACGGCAATCGTTAAAGAAAAAAACAAGGCAGTTTTCCTGTTCAGTTTGGATTTTTCTGAAGGGTCTTTTAATCCTCGGATGACTAGATTCTTACTAGCACACAGTATCAGCTGGAGGATGCCTGATTTGGACAATGAGGCCAAACCCATTCAAAGTCATAAATATCTTGCTATCTACATCTACAAAGAGAACAATGAGTCCTCCCACAGATGGTATGTATGTCCCTAATCTCTGCAAAACCCCAAAGTCAACACCATCAAACCACATTGTGAGCATCTATGTGAAAGACGGGATAGAAAACAAAGAATGAAAACTTTAAGAAGAACCGAAGGCAACCAAATGTTAAGAGACAAGTGCATCATCTTTCGTTTCCAAGGTTTTGCACATATCCAAGATTTCGGTCCACATCACTTAGTCACAAGTCGAATAAAAACAGACTCAGTTAGGCATGAGCACATGATTCAACACGCTATATATTAAATAGCTTAAATGAAATACTGAAGAAATGAGTGAAAACTGAAGATTTTTCTCACTGCTCGCAGGAATTTAGGAGGGAAAGTAACACCCAGATGAATTGACCATCAGAGAGTTTGGGCACCTCTATAAAAGCAGAGGTTTGCGCTGAAGAATAGTTTTTTAACACAACGCAAAAGGAGGAAAGACATCAGCAATGCTGTCAGAAGTACTGTAGCTGCCCCTCTGAAGGGTTATGAGGATATTTGCTGATCTGAGGTCCATCGTTCTACAGAGAGAAAGATTATTCACGGCTGTAAAACACTCAGGACAGCTGTCAGTCTTCCCAAACCCAAACGATCCATCTCAGGCATTGCAGGCCTCATTAGCAGGTTAAGGAGCAAAGGTTTGGACACTACAGTTTACCTCTTCTCTGGGAGAAGAACATGGCAGCAAGGCTCAGGTCTGCAAAGACTTCAGTCCAAAGGGGAGATGTTTGGTCAGAATGCACAAAAACCGAAAAACAAACGGCTCAGAGCAGCCCTCGGCACGGTGGAGGAGGGATGACGATCTGGGCCGGTTCTCCAGCATCAGGACCTGGGAGTCCATCACGAACTCCTCTGGATACCAGAATGTTTTAGAGCCAGATGTGAGGCCGTCCATCCCACAGGTGAAGCTGGAACCGGCCCATCAGCAGGACAAAGATCCAAACACAGCAGCAGATCTTCAGCAGAAAGTCTGAAAAAGACATGAAACGGGGGGATTAATGGTCCATCACAGTCCAGACCCCAACCTGACTGAATGCTGGCCTTAAAGAGAGCTGTACACAGGTCAGAATGAGATGAAGAACCACGGAAAGAAGAGAGGGACAGAACTCACAATATTACAATATTTTTTTAAGTTTGCTGTTCGACACACCGAATCAATGTAAATATTGTTTTTTTTCAAAGTTTTTGTTCATTAAATATTGATACAGAGTAATAAGTCATGTGGTATAAATCACCGGGAGTTTCATTAACCTAATTTTAGGGCCGGAAACGGTTGTGTAATATTCACCATAATGTCCTGAAGCAGAACATTGCTGAACTGACAGAATTTGTGTCTATTTTTAATGACTGGTCCAATAGCTGTCCAGCACCATCTGAATAGAATCGCATTCCTCACAATTATCACTGATGATCATAACCATTGATACGTTAAAAGAAAAAAGATTTCTGCCCCCCCACACATCTTTGTCATGTGATCATCTGGGTCAAGCCTTCTCTTCCCCCCTCAGTTTTCAGGCACAGGTGTCCCGAAGGGTCACCGATCTGCATAGCTGGCACTGAGAAGACGCACCGTGCTTCTTATTATGGTCGCATACATTACACCTTACGTAACCACGGGGGGGTGTGAGCTTTCCAAATGTAGCAGGAGCAGGGGAGGGGTATGTTGAGGCCTCCCATATTTGATGACATTCAAAGATTATGAAGGAAAAAAACTAATCAGTTGGACAACAAACTGTGGTTGTCATCAGAAGAAGATCCGTTTGATGTTAACAAGCTAAACTCTTCATGGAGGGATACTGATCAATGTCCTTTTGGGTCACTCAGAACCCCTCCCTCTGCACGCCTTAGCAAAAAGAGGCATGACGGCATCAGCAGAGAAGGCTCAGTGAGAGATTGTGTGTCTGTTAACAAGCTGACGTTACTGCTCTTGTAAATCTTTACATCCGAGACGTTTAGGACATCAATTAAAAGCTAATATGCATCGTCCAGTGAGGGCGGCGTTTTTGCACGTGTTGGGTCGTAAACAAATGGTCCTTCTGGTAAGTGATTAAAACTGTTTACATACCAGCGCGACAAGATTTATGGCGATCGGCGGAGCCCCTCAGAGACTCTGACCTCCGCTTGCTCTCCTGTGATACTATTACGGACGACACGGGCCACAACCTGTTAGGACGACATCTGCTGAACGCGTCGACCTCCGACCTTTGCTTACGTCTGCCACTTGTCGTCCGCATTACCTCATGCTCCCTCAATGTGTGTGGCTCACACCGAAGCAAAAAGATTGCAATCCTGCGATTGTGTGAAAACGGAAACCCCACCGGCAGAATGGGGACCAACTAAAAACACCGGAGAGACGAGAAAAGAGGATTTTAGATGGATCATTCCTTCTGCGCCAACATTCTGGGCATTTGCCTTCGACCTGACATCCACAGCTGCTGCAAATCAGGTGCACCAGGGAGGCAAGCTGCACTCCAAGACTCAAGAATAGATAAAAGTTTAAGGGGGACAGCCATTTCAGGTTACACTTTGGCTTTTATAGAGGGTGACAGCATGTCCAAGATGGGTAACAGAGACCACGAGAACATTACAGAGACATGGATCATCTGAAGTCAGATGAGGTTAGTTTGAAGGGACCAGCAGCAGTTTAGTTGTTGGGAAAGATCAAACACAGGGATGTGACTCAAAGCGTTCAAAGGAAGGATTATTTCAGGGTAGAGACAATTGTGACTGGCAGTTGTCATTCCTCTCTTTTGACATTTTCTTTATAAGTTAACTGAACGACTGAATGCACACATGAAACATCCAGCTTCCATTCATTGGCCAAAGAGGTAAAGAAGCTTTAAATGCGTCACTCCCAGCTGGAGCATAGCACCATATTAGCAACATTAAGATGAATGATTACTGGGTCCTTCTGAATCCAAGATGGTAATGGTTTCAGGAGGTAATGCAGATGTCCTAACCGACAAATCTGACACACGACGGCACTTTCAGGTAAAAATAACAGTCATTATTACAGTTGCACCTGGTGCTATATTGTCGCTGTTTTTTAGAGAAAAAAATAAATAATGAGAGCAGAGCCTCGACAGCGAATTGAAGAATCAAACTGAGTCATATGCATTAACCACCCGTCCACCCACTCAGAGTTATTATGGTCATTAGCGCCGCAAAAGTCTTACTCACAACCACCCAAAACTCCCCGGCAGCCTAAATATAGCCTGCAATTTTTTAAGCAGATCCATCCCAGCGTACATCGTCGGTATCGAGTAGTTTCAGGGGTTATTATTAATTCATTTTTCCTGTCATAATCAATTTGCCCGCTATAGTTAGCTGATCAACGTTTAATAGTGCCAGTTTTATTCAATTTAGGAAAAAGAAATCTAAATCAAAATATGAAAAAACGCTTAATGTATTTTATTTAAAGCATAAACAAGAACATCAAATCAGTTTGATACAACTGGATGTTTGCAGCTCAAGGGAGAGAGCAATTACCTGCCAATAGACAGGCTGGTAGTTCTATTCCAGACTACATATAACAATATCCTTGAGCAAGACACTGAACTTAGTACAGACATATGTTAATGAATTCTACATTTGGACAAATATTTGACATGTTACAGCAAAATAACGAGTTATGAAATGCTCTGATTTAATGCAAGTTTGGTGAATGTTATATTATCCAAATTGGGTGATTTTAGTAGAAAAGCATATTTTTCCATTTTATTTCTATTTTACTGACCCTCAGCCTCAAACAGTCGAGGTGCTTGAGGAAGGATCCACCTGCATTTCTCAGAGCTTAATTAGAGAAAATGATTCTCACAGTGCTGCCTGCTTTTGGCAGATGAGTGGGCTCACTGGAACGCCTACCTCATGGCATTTTCAGCACAAACCCCTTTACAACGTGCCACCTTTACAAAGAAAAATCACATCACGGTTGAGACTAAAATAATGTGGCTAATGATGCGGAGACGGGGATCAAATGTGGAGCTGCAGAGTGGAGGCTGATGGAAGCAAGGAAACGGCAGATATTCATAAATCAAACAGGGGAAAGAAATACTGATAAATCTAACATTAACAACACACAAGCGCAGTAACGGTGAGAAGAGAAAGAACAAGAAGCCGAAACACAGAAAGAGTATCGAGTGAAGTGAAAGCAGCTGTGACTGGTCAGTAACAGGTGAGCAGAAGGGCAAAAGACTCAAGAAGCTGTGGAAAAGTATTGATAATGTCAATAATATGGCCAAAATAACCTGAACCTCACAGACAAAGTCAAACGAGTTACACAAAGAACAAAACCATGAGCAACAACAAACGAATCGGGGTGAGAAAACCAGAATAAATTCCGGTTTTGACTGAACACTGACTTAAAACACCAAGAAATGCAACAAGAAACCAGGATAGAAGCAAACCAAGACATGAAAACACACATCCAAAGTCCAAAAACTTCAACAACCCTAAGAAATAGGCCTCCATCCCATCACCATGTGGAGTTTAAGCTGGTCATGGGTTGTAATTCCAAGCTCCACAATAGTTATTCATTAGCTCTTGAGAAACTGAGAAAAGCTCTGGTCAAATTCTGTTTATAGAAGACAACAATGCCCATTTTAGATATCCATCTTTATGCTATTACTGATTGCCCTGAAAATGTAAACAAGGGCTTGTGTCAGAAGTTTACAAATCATCTCACACTAGATTTTTTTCTCTTTGTAAGAGGACATTCAAGTCTGTTCTTACATCGTCACAGCTTCAACCAGATGGGCTGATTCCACTTTTAGAGTCCTCAACTGACCAATATCACCAACGGATCGCAATTAAAGGGTCAACGTATACCTCCCAGCTGAAGCCATTTGAACTCTGAGCCTTTGGGAAATTCACAGGAGAAATAACATCCCGCATAAGTCAAGTAACTGGAAAGAAACCTGAGTGTGGTTCAAATCTGCAAGTCACACTGTGTAACTGAACCCTTTTACCATAGACTGAGTACAAAACTGACACCATCTTAATGTGTCTGATCGATCCTCTTTTCCACAACAGCTGGCCTGAATGAGTGCTGACAGAGAGCAACACCCTCTAATCTCTCCTGGATTCATTAAAAAAGGAGCCACCTTATCCCAGTTTATGCATCTTGTTGCCATAAGCGAAATCAACCTAATTCAAACTTTATCATAGGTCCACATGGCTGCCAACAAGAGGTTTGTCTGTGATAGGTAGTGTTAAAAAGAGTCAGTGATGGTATTTTAGCTCTTTTCTGCAGACAAAAAAGTCCTCCAAGAATCACCATCTGACAAGTGATCAGATTTTAAGTGAGATGCATATAAAGAAAGTTACACCAACACTTAATGTCTCTATGGATAAAATAAAGTATTTTGAGTTTAATTGAATGAGTCCATTAACCATGCTGAGAACCTCAGAGGTTTAATTATATTATATTATAATATGTAATATTATATTATGCTGTAGAACTGACCACATAAAATAGTCATGGGGATAGCCCTCACTGGACAATTTTGTTTTGATCTTCCTATGATCGTGTTACATTCAGGTACACATGGATAACTGTCATTTGCACATTAAATGTTCATAATAAACCACATGCAGCTCCTTTTTCTTTGCATGCTTACTCGGGTTTTGACATTTTAGCAGAAATGGCGACATTTAGTGGCGGGAACAAATTTTACAACAAGAAATAAAAAAATATCTAGTGAGTTTTTTGGCAGGAAACTAGCCATGACATGGCAATATAGAAGCACTGTTGCCTTTTAAGATGTTTTGGCAAAACAGTAATGATTATCAGTACTTTATATCGTTCAATAAGATGCAAATATAAATGATTTTTAAGCTCGAACAAAAAGCTCTTCGAGCTGTCGTTTGATGAGAAAACCGCATTTGTGATGTGTACTTGAACACACCTTGGAGCCGAGGCGGCAGAGTGGTGTCTTTGAAGTTTAAGGTAAAAATGTTCACAATGTTTTCTTGAAAATAACTTATTATTTGTGTCTGAAAAAATCTGTAACAGTCAATTTTCAAAATACTTTTGAAAAAGGACATTTTAATTTGGGAAAAATGCATTTTAATAGGTCAAAAACGTTGCTAACTAACGTTACTACAACATCAAAACGGTTTTCCCTCTTGCCACCGGTGATTTTTTTTTCGTCCTGAAATGGGCACTTATAACGTGTGATATTACCCCAAAAAATCTGAAATGAATATCTAATATATGTAGTCTTATTTTGTGGTGCTTCTTCTCTCTGACGATACATAGTTTCAAAATTGTGTGCTCTGAAAAAGACTTCAAACGGAAAAAAAATGTCCATTTGCCTCGTTATGGACACAGCTGCCGTACTGATAATGTTTTTTGCTAAAGTTTTGTGGCACTATGAATTCCTATAAAATGTACAGACAGAAATGGGTCATCTGCTGGATTAGAGAGTTTTTTAGGCCCAGGATTTAAGGACACACTGCACACCATTGATACCGGCTTTACTGGTTCTTTGCTAAGTTGTCCGTTACCTCAACACAATGAAAAAATAGTTAACAAACAATAATTTTCTACGAAACAATCATATTTTGGAAAAAGCAGCCAATACCTGAAGAAAACTTCTTTAAAGACCTCCAGAAAGCCTGAATCGATTTGGCTCAAGACCGCTTTAAAAGATGAGTGGAAAGTCAGACTGCTTGACAGCAGAATATAATTGATTTTTTAATATTATTGTATATTGTTACATAGCAGGTCAATACACAACCTTTCTTTACTTTTTCATTTTCATTTCAATCCACTAAAAGGAGCTTCAATGAGGGGTTGAATGGAACTATTTCTCCTTCACCAGCCACAACATGATTATAAATGCAATAAACAGACTGTTATGCGTGGATGGTAAAAAAAAGATGGTTTTTGATCGCTAAAGGTTTCATTTGGGGTCAGATCGACCCAGGACAACAGGAGGGTTAGCAGGAGACTCTTTCACTGGGTCAGAAACCCACTCCTCCAATCTCACACTTCTATCCAGGGGTAATTTTTAAATGGTCATTGAGACAGATTGTGGAATCAATGGAGCGACATGTTAGAGACACTTTTCTCCTCTGATATACTGCCTTAAACAAAGCAGAACGTGCCTTTGTCTGTTTTATGTGAATGATAGAAAAAAGAAGGAGACTATTTTAAGGAACGATAGGATAGTTTTAGATCTTCTCATCATTCACACTGTAATTCAGATGGTATAAAAAAACAAAAAAACAAAAAAAGGGACGACCCCAAATTTGAGCTGCAGTAAAATTGATAAAATCACTGCTCTCTGAGTAAAGCCGCCTTGTGTGCTGAAGCATTCCTCCAGAACCTCGTTTAGCTCCAGATTCCTGCCTCCAAAGTGAGGAATTCTAGGTCAAGACACACAAAGAACCCCTGGACTCCGGGGAAAGTTTTTATCAATGCAGTTGCAATTAAAGTTGTGATAAAGTAAAGAAAAGGCTGAGATGTTTGAGTAAATAGTGACAAACATTTTCCGCTTTTACACCTGTGAGTCCACTGTGAAATGACGAGCTTTTCTGCTGCGTTTCAGACTCATGAGTGACCTGGAGGATCCACATTTCCACATGGAGTCATGGACGCCGCCTCAGAGGAGGAAAAGACAAAAGGGGCCCAAGAAGGACAAAAAAGAAAAAAAGCGTAAAAACACGCTGAAAACAGACGAGAGCACCAAGAAGAAAAAGAAGGCCGGCCTCGGACTTTTTGAGGCCCTTGCAGAGTTGAAAGAGAAGAAGCAAAAAAAGAGGAAAAAGCAGGACAAAATGGAGGCGGATGATGGCGCTTTGTCAGCACAGGGCTCATCAGACCCGTTCCATCTCCGCTCTGGGAGTCCGGCTCAGCTCTCAGAAGCCAAAAGGAAAAAGACGGTGGCCTTCGGTTTGCCGTATGACTGCGTCCGGGTCAAACGCCCTAAATTTGCCTGCCCGGCGCCCGGAGAATCGCAGGTCGTGGTCAGGCCTCCGGTCAGGCCTCCGACCCCTGACCAGGACTCCCCGGGCACCAGCGAGGACCTCAACAGCCAGGACCTGTTCATCACCCAGAAGACCTTCAGAGCGTCCCCCGCCCAGCCGTCCAGCGGCGAGGCCAGACAGGTGACGTTCAAAGAGAGCGTCTCACAGGAGAGGAAGTGTCCCGGAGGCGCGAGGTCCAGCCTGTCCAGTCCCTTTCTGGACCAGCTGGACGTGGTAAAGCCGACTCAGGACGAGGGTCCCGGCCCTCGTTTGTCCGCACGCCGCCCGCTCGTCCACTTCCAGCCCCCGCTTTTCCCACGCACGAGAACCTCCTCCACCCAGACGGAGAACTTCTTCACGGCGGAGCTCTGCTCCTACCTCAGCTTCTGCCGGGAGGCCAGGGCCCGCCTGGCCCTCCAGGACCTGAAACCGCTGGACATGAGCCTCCCCCGGCGCTCGCCGGGGCGGAGACCAGCGGGCGGGAAGCCCTCGACTCCGAGCCCGCCATCTGAGGCCGAGCACAGGTCTGCGGAGACCCTGACCTCCAGCGAGGACGACCACCCCTCCCACAAGAGAGACCCCATCCAGGTGAGCCCACAGCAGCCACCTTTTCCAGCCGTTTCACAGCACTCTGCTCACCAACACAATCAGTACCAACACAAACATGAATTCAGTTCATTTATCCTCTTTGAATGATTAGATACAGTATATCCTGTATGGATCCGGGGAGACATCTAACCTGGATTTGACATGTAAATAGTGCAAAAAAAAACACAATGACGGATCTAAAGAAAGCACCTGATGTAGGATCAGTGCAACAAAGAGCTATTTGTGTTCAGAGACGTATCATCTCACTGCTCACAGCACCTGCAGATACACGGATTGTGTTTATGCTCGGCTCCTAACTGGATTAAAGGGCAGGCCGGATTATACGTTTTTTCATTTCATTCTGCTGTGGCCGCCTTCGTTTTTAGCTTTTCTTTTGTTTCTGGGACTTCCTGAATGGCAACTCCCACAAAGGCTTTTAAAACAGGCTGATGTCCTTAAATATTACACGTTCAGCGTCAGAAGAACCATCACCAGGCCTGCATTTGTCCAAGTGAGATTTAAAAATATCGATCCATTACACTCCTGAGGAGAGTATTCCACTTTTAATGTGACTAAATTCAATGTTTTCCAGAATTCCTTCGATATTGTGTTGTTTTAATCTTACTAAAGTGAACTAACTAGAGCAACTGTGTGTTTACTTCCTAACTTGGGATTTATGAAGTGTGCAGTGTGTTTTTTCTTAAAGTTTTAGCCCTAAATGTGCAGAATAACATCTTTTCTGTCCTTTTTATGGTCAGGGGTGTTCATCAGGGTATTCGTCAAACAGATAAAGTCTCTGAAGTTTTTATGCTGACCACTAACACGACACATTTTTGTGGATTTTAGGTCAAAGGAGTCCAAACAAAACTAAATAAACCATTCTTTTTCAAGACCAAAGGAGAGGGGCAACCGGCTCGACCGGAGTCGCCGCTGATGAAGCTCTCTCAGGGCAGAGACATTAAAACCAGGAAGCACCGATAAGGGAGCGGAGGCGCCGGACACTCGGGCGCCTCCTCCACAGGATGAGCCAACCAGATGAGTCGTAGAATCTGGAACCTGTTCAGTGTTGTTGTCGCTTGAGTTTTAGGGTTGTTTGGGTGGATTGTAGTTAACAGTCTCAGTTTCAGGGAAATGTTTGATGGTTAAATGGATTTTCATTCCCTGAGTCAGGGGGTGGGGGTGGGGTGGGGGCTTGTGTCTGGCTGGCTGCGGTCAGTGGCGGTGACCACAAGGACAGCAAATATGAGATTCTGTAAATCCAGGGCTGCAGATGAAGTACGGAACCTTCCCCTTAAAACGCCCGTTATGTCCCTTTAACACTCAGATCATAAGATGGGTGTGATTGCTTTTAGAGACCTCAAAAGATACAAATGAGAGTGTTCCTCTGTAATGCTTTTATCATAAATTTGAAGCATAAATACATCTGTTGGGAGAGTTTTTCTTCAAGTCTCAGCTTCAACAGCCAATTCTTTTAATTTCATGAAACTGTGACATCAAATTATACATACAATTCTAGTTCCTAGCTTTGTTCTTTGTGAGAATGGCCCTATTGTTCAGGGTTTACTAATTTGTTTGCACGTGCAGCAATTTTTTGAGAATGAACTTACTCTACAGTCTTTATTTAACCTGCAGAGATGAACACAAACATTTTACAGCAGGTGTTTAGAGTTCATCACAGTTTATTTATGGGTTTATTACCACCATAAGAGCTAAATACTCAGTGGTTTGACAAGCAGAGTGACAAAAGGGCCAGAAAAGCAGGTACGATCAGAAAACATCTTTTAACATCTTTTCCCTCTGAGAGGAAAGCCTAGTTGTGTCTGAAGAGTTTGATCCCCATCCAGCTCCAGAGGTGGAAGAAGACGTAGACGGGGATGGTGACGGGCAGCAGCAGGCTGTAGAAACACAGGCTGCTGCTGCTGGTGCAGCCCTGGGGGAAGTTCTCATCCACGGCCGCCGAGTAGAACAAACCAAAGAGAGACACTATGGGGACCAGTCCCACCATCACTGACAGGGAGAACATCCTGAATAAATACCGGCGGGAGAAAGGATCTAAAGCCTGGGTCTAATTCGGTCCGACGGAGTCTGGAAGCGCTGGTCTTCAGTCTGTTTTTGCAGCTTTTAGGATGGCGGTTGTGTTACTGCGCGGGTGCGTCTGGGGCCTCCTTCTGTATGAGTCTGGCATCCTGAGGGATCATGTTGGGAATGCCGTCAACGATGGGATAAGCGATGCCGAGCTCCTTGTTGATCAGCTCATTGGTCTCAGCGCTGTAACTGGGGAGGGATAACGCACAGCTAAGTCCATACGGTTGGTACCATTCTTAAAAGCATTTGGTTTGCCTGATTGATAAAAGATAAGTAAGAACTTCACACATGTTTGTCTAAGCGTATCTGGCTCTGTGAAGGAAGCATTTATGTTGGTCACTGACTAACAACCAACATAACAAGTTCAGAAGTCCTTCGATGACCCCCCAAAAAATCTAATTATTTTTTGTTTAGTATCAAGGGATACAGAGACAAGCAACACACGACCAAGAAAGAGAGAGAAACCACTTTCCACTTGTTAAAAAAAAAAGCAAAAAATGAATATTTGTTGAAACTATGCTGCTGGATAAACTACATTGTAATATCGTGCTTTTTTTAGTTATTTGGTTTATTTCCCAGTAGAGCAAGAGATAACTTGTACACAGTCAGAAGTAAAAAACAAACCAGATGAGGACGTCCCAAGAACATATGCCCCCCCAAATATATGATGTAGATTTGCATTTTTTTGTATTTCTCGTGGATATGGTAAAAGACGAAGTGAGGCAGTAAAATAACACAACCAGAGCACACTGAGCACATCAGTTAGATAATGTCACCGTTGTTACCTCAGAGGTTTCTTGGACAACGGACATACGAGGAACTGCAGCAGGGAGGAGTCAAAAGGCGGCTGCACTTCGTCCTTCACGTCGGTAAAACTCCTCACCGCCACGCGGGCAGACGTTAATGTCGGTACTAACGGTGCGTTTTTCACATTACGGTGAAACCTAACCGTTTCCGTCACCGCCCTGCTCAAAACATTCCTAAACATGACCAAATTATTCCCGACCAGCTCAACAACCTCTCTGACAGGAAGAGCCTGTTTCTGTGCACCGCTGTAGAACGTCCGGCTCCCGTGAGCTGCTTTGAAAAGGTTCCGCTGGCGTACTTCGTTTAAAGCGCGATTTGATGAAAAACATGCGCTCTGAACAAAACCCCACTAATTTGTTAAACGTTTGTTTAACATATTATTGTAAGCATAATTTCTCTGGTCTATTTGGGGATTTAAAGAATGGCAGTTTCTCCGTTTTACCGGATTATCCCGCATGGTGGCAGTGTTGCCTATCCTAGCTGACGTTGGGGGAGAGACGGCTAAAGCTTTGACTTGGCACTTGTCAACTAATAAAGAGAAATACTTCCTTAAATTAGGTCAAAACTGGAGCTGCATAATCTCAAATGATATCAACTACATATTTGTTTGTTTATCTAAAGTACACTTGGTATTATTTTTGCTTCAGTCACTTGCTTTCGAATATGAATTTGACCTCTTCTAAGAGATTTCACCCACTTGGAGTTGTCTTTGATATATTAGATAAAAAAATAGAAAATTAACAGCTTCAGCCATACATATATACATGCTACATATACTGTAGATACTTTGCAGAATTTAGAAATGTTTATGTGAATTCTCTAGTTTTATTGAAGTCTGATGTGGACATGATTTCCCAGCAGGTTCTGACTACACTCAATTAAACATGGCCATTGTCTGCTCCCAGTAGAAACAGAATGCATACATTCATTCATAAGACTGAGGATATTGCTGTGAGACTTTCTTGGCCGGACTTCAATCTATTTAAAAACTGCTTATAGCTGTAATTTATCCCACTGCTGGGCACATGACAGGCGTGCTAATACATCTTATATATTTTTCCTTTTCCCAGCTGTCAAAGCTTGAATATAGCAGTGGAACACAAAAGCCATTCACTGTTTTTTGTGGGTCTGTTTACTCTAGGGAGGTGTTCATTATCGTTGACATATTCCAAGTAAAAGGAACACCAGAAGCTGTTCACCTATTGGTCAGACAGACGATAAAATGTTGTTCTGTTTCAGAATCATTATAGTTTAGTTAAAAAAGTTAGATTAATTTTCGGGAAAAAAATCAATGTAAATATAGCCCGATGACATATGGGAAACGATGATACATGGTTGGCTCGTCTTAAATTTGGCACATCTTGGCACTTAAGGCTGTCTGCAGAGATTCTCCCAATTTTCCAGTTTCAGACTTTGGCTGGGATCCTGCCAAAGTCTTTGGTGTGCTTCAGTCTGGATGTAGATCCTGCAGCTCTCCGGAAAAGGATTTCACTCAAGACCTTTTCATCTTTGGTGACTTCTGAGCTCCCGTCAAAGACAAACATCCCAACAAAATGATGCTGCCAGCTCTATGTTTGCTTCAAAAGACGGAATTAATGAGAATATGTTCGGTCTTCATTGCTCCTTGTGGATTGATGGTCATTCAGGTGCTTTTTGACAAACTCAGCAAAATCCCATCTATTTTTATATTGAGGGATGGCTTCTGTCAGGACACTCTTGTAGAACCTGATGGATGGAGCGACAAGTATCCTCCTGTGAGCTTCTTCAGTCCCCAAAAAGGAAAATTAAATTGTGAGGGGTTTCATGGTGAACCATCTACAAATATTATTCTGTCTATAGTCAATGAGTCAGGCCATCCCAGTGATATGAGAGGATCTGTGCAACCAGAAACTGAAAGAAGATGCAGAAATATATTAGAAAAGGACTCCAGTGCACAGAAATTTCATGCCAGAATGAATAAGGGATAGTTCTCATATCTGTTTCAGTGCAAACTGAACTGGTCAACTGGAAATGAAATAGACACCAGAAAAACGATTTTTTCCTACAAACAAAACATAGACAGAGCAGATTAATCATAAAAGTAAAAGGCAAAACAAATGTTCAAATAAAACGCCCACTGGCCTGGAACTGTTCAGCACCCCCCTGAAGATGGAGAACGCCACTGGGGAGAAATATGTCCGGGTTTCCCCATGGGGAACACCACCTTAGATAAGGTGGGTGGAAGGATCCACAGTCTGGAGCCACAGTCTGGATTTTAATGTAATTCAGTTAAAGACTCAATCAAAAACTCAATGGACGCAAGAGAAAAGTAAGAGGGGAGAAAATAACCCAATTCTGAATCATCTTAGAATACAAATTTGCTCATCAATAGTTGAATAGAACCGTAATGAAACAATCTCTGTTAATAATCTCGGTGGTTATAATTCTGATCCCATCATGGCCGAAACAAAATGAAGAGATTAGAGGGTTTAAATGTGTTCCACCTGCATTCTGCTGACAGCCATCCAGCCTGAGGCATCTTGTTAGTCCATGGCAGAAATTAGACCATAACAAATGTAGTCTTTTCCTTCATTTGGCTGAAGGAAACAATCCAGGAAGACCCCTGTTGACAAGTCGTGCCTTTTCTTTTTGTTGTATTTCCTGTGTTGTTTTGTTGTACGCTGTCAAATGCGGTCTGATGTTTTTGTGCATGTTTTTCTGCTCAGCGATTCATTCAACCGGGAGAATGGGTGAAGACAGGTAGTGAGATGAATGGTGGAAACATCGAATCAGCTAAAGTACATGCTGGGTTACAAACCACCGATGACAAGTTCGTAAAAGCTTTACCGACTTCCTGACTCGATTCCAAAAGCACAACACAGAGAAAAAAGGCCCCCCCGTGGGGCAGAATCCATCACTGAGGACTGAAAGCTAAAGCAGAATAGCAGAACTTAAACAATAACTGAACTAAATCGACAGAGACAACCAGTGAACACTCTGAACCAGGGTATTAAAGAACTAAGATGCCAAAAATCAGAGAAAAACTAAACTAAATGCTTTTCCATTTAATTGTTTTGTGGTGCTGAGCACCTCAGAGTTCTATTCCTGTGGGAGATGGGGTTCGGGTCGGTGTTTGGAAGGGCTGTCATCAGCCTCACACGTGCGCTGACCTTTTTCAGAACCAAAAACCTGTGAACCGGAGCCCTCAGGGATGACCTCTTCTGGCCGTTTCTCACATTTACTCCTCTGGCCTGTGTGGAGATGTCTTGAAAATGAAAGAGATGCGACAGTCTGGATACACCCGTCGTAAAACCGCTCACAGTGATTGGACAGAATCTAGCTGGTGTCGTAACACCTGCAAGTTTTCTTAGCTTCAAACAGCCTCTCACTGCGAAACACAACAATAGGTCCCCTCATTAGTTAGTAATCTTTGACCTGTGGAGTGTGGATGTCAAAATATCCCCCTCCCATAGTTTCCATCAGAGAGGTAAAGTAAAGCCGACAATTTATGAGCTTATCTTGCTCTGTTTCACACCTGATTCAGGACTAAACTCTGAGCTATGTGAGCCAATAGTTGCCTAAATATCATGAAGAACTTTGAATGTAACAGCGAGTTTCACTGAATCAAAAAGAAATGATTCCTTGAAGAGATTTTCTGTTGAAAACATACATGTTTTAAAATGCATTTTCCAACATAATACTTAACCTGGCAGTTTGGCTTTGTGTACAACCTTTCTTCACACCGGAAAAGGATCTATTTGAAGGTAAAAATGAGCCCACATATATGTTAAAGAAGAGCTTCTACCCAAGAGAGGATATATTAGGTTACATTCTGTCCTAATATTGACTTCAAGGCTTGTTAGATTTGAACAAACTTTGCATTTACATCTGAGTGTGAACGTGTCATCGGATCATATCCCTGTGTTTGCACAGGACTGCACTCTTGACTTCCCCACATCTGGCACCGGGGAGCTTATTCTGCAGGTTACTGTCAATCCACACCAAAGATTTAGATCTTTTCCTCACTTGGAACAGTTTTTCCCCCCTCTAAAATAAGATTAGGCGCTTAATTCTCAAGCTGATGCAGCAGTTTCTATTAAATCTGATTATCAGATCCAAAGGTACTTCGTTTCTGCTCTGGATTCTCTCCTCTGCTGGCTGTTCCTCTTCGTTTAGCTCCCTGTGACCGGTCTCTGTCTCCTCTTTTCTTCTTCTTTCACACTGTCAAGTCGCTCCACCGGCCAAAAAGCCCAAAAAGACTTCAATCGGGCTTCAATCGGAATGTCTGGTGTCTCGTCATGTCTTGCTTACCTATCGTTGGAGCTATTTATTCTTTATTTCTTTATTCATTTGAATTTTGTTAGTTAATTCTTAAATGTATATTTTTTGTATTATTTACAGTATTTATTTACAGGTTAATAATTGTTGATTCTATTTAATTTCTTGTCTTATTATTTTTCTTATTCATTCTTTAGAGTTAGACAGGAAGTCATGTGGGTCAGTCCACTTTTCTATAAGTATAGGGGCCTGGTAAAGGACCAGCAAGGCATTTGGATTTGGGGCCTATGGTTTTTACCAGAGCAAGAGAACAGAGCAAAAGAACAGAGCAAGATTGACAGAATGGGAACAAAGGAAAGTTTGAACTCTGTAATTGTTGCTGGAAAGAACAAATAAACCTTCAAGAATAATCAACAAGTTTGGATGTTAAATCTTCTTTTGCCTGCGTATAGAAACTGGACCCCAGTGCCTCTTAGTGGCTTGAGGAACTATTATTGGATGTTTGGTTTGACAAACAATCGCCACCACACCTATTGTGTACACCTGGGGTTCAGCTCCCTCATGTGTTTAAATAGTCCTCGTTTCCCATGTCCTG